TGACCCACAAAGAATCAGGTGTTTTCTAATCTAACAAATAACAATGATTATTGTCACATATAGCTGGAACCTGCAGGTCCTGAAGTCTTTTCTATCGTCCTAATGACACCATTCAGTATCAGTTCAAAAAAAAATCACACACAAGTTTTAGGTGCTTAGACCTGATAAGATGTTAGCGGTTTTCACGTACGAAATCCAAACTGCAGGCACCAGAATAATAACAGCGACCATATTTTGCCAGCAGGTTTCCATATTTTAAGTTATCTTAGGCGTTAATAAACTGTTTCAGTGGAGTGATCATAGCGCTCTGCATTAGCAGCGCTACGTCTGTCTCCCTGCCAGCTCCCAGATCAGTTTCTCTAATTGGTTGATGCGGCACGTCGAGCAGCAAAAATTCAATGTTTTCAATCCAATGCCACCAACAACAACAGTTGAATATTATACAAGAAACCAACTTCATGGCTCTAAAGTAGTCTAGAGAATCCTTGCGAGCAGTACTACCATAGATCGTCACTAGGGGGCGAGGAACCGTGCTAGTGTGATGTCGTAAGGAACCGAGTTGTAAGGAACCAAACTCAGCACGGTTAACTGATCCAAACTCGGTCCGAACTCGGCAAGGATCAGTTTCAGAAGATGGTGTAAATGGGGCTATTATCACCTATTTAGGATGTTTCATATCTGGTAGCCTTTAGAAAACCAACATGCTTTACAGGAACCAAAGTCTGGTTTTAATATGGTGGACCACCATGTTCGATGCTAGGGATCGGATTAAAGGTGAGGTGTGAATTACATTTAGGTTAAGATTTGGTTTAGGAATATATTGGTAATGTCTGGGTAGGGCATACATACACATACTTAAATTTTTTATTGATAAATCAATCAACAATAAAAGTCAGTCAATGTAAAATGCTTATATGGATTGAAATACTAACTTTCGTGTGTGTGTGGGTGTGTGTGTGTGTGTGTTGTGTGTGTGAGTACCAACTCATGGCAGCCTCCATTGTTTTTCTGACAGGGGTTGATAAGGTCGCACACCTTGCCATCTCCCATATAACCAGTTTTACAAACACACTCGCTCTGCAAACAGACACACAGAGGTTCACTTAAAATTACAGGAAACTGCAGGAAGATTAAAGAACATTAAAGAATATTTATTAAGGGTTGTTGTTATGGTTCATAATAGCACATTTGGTTTAAATCCAAGAGGACTAGACTTTCAGTCAGTTTTCCTGAGAACATTTCCACAGCTATCCAGAAATCAGTCAATTGTTGCCGTTCACACCAGAGTTGATGATAACCATCCTGATAGGCACAGAAAAACTAAAAGAAAGTCCAGTTTCCTCAGATTTAAATCCGTTTTGTGGTGCCGTGACCCAAATGACTGAGAATTAGGTGCAGAAGGCCTTTAAACTCTTTCAGTCATATTTATTTCTGAATGATGCAGTTAATAGATAAAGCTCAACTGTAAGCTATAACCTCTGTTACTACTGATCTAAATGCCTGCTGTTTGTTATGCTCCAGATCCAGATCTCCATCTTTGATTAAATTCTCTGCACCCATCCAATCAGGACCGTGATCCAGAACAACAATCTCTGACACTGCAGCTGCTTTTAGGCTTGAAGTAATGACTGTTTTTTCTTTACACTTCCAGCTCAGTGTTTGAGGGATTATTAAAAATACTGAAGCTTTGATATCTTTAAAAACATAAATCAAAAATTTCTAATGGAATTCTGTTGATGGTAAATCTGCGTTATTTTAGGGTTTGTTTAAATACAGCAAATGGTCTGCCTTCAGCTGACCTGTCCTGGTCCGATGTGATTGCAGTCGGCGTTGGGGCTGCAGCCTCCTCGGCCTTCCAGCTGACAGTTGTTGATCTCCACGCAGACTTTCCCGTCCCCAGTCCATCCCTCAGCGCACACGCACGACACATTACCCGGACCCACGTACACACACTCTGCCTGCAAAGCGAGCAGATGTAGACGCACTCAGGATGTCGGGTACAATGACGTAAAGATATTCAGAAAAAAAACATTTCAACAACTTCTCAGCTATCTTAGGGTTCGGTTGTTTTCCCACGACTGTATGAAAATAATTTAGAAAATATCTTAGGTTCATTAAAGATTAACATAAAGGCTGGACGGTGACTGGTGGAAGCTGTCAGCCTTACGTTGGCGTCGCAGCCGCCACGGTTGCTCTTTAGGCAGAGGTTGATGGGAGAACAGGAGTGGCCATCGCCCTCGTATCCATCCCTGCACAAACAGCTGGTGAAACAAAAAAAGGGACAATGTAAGCAGAGGCTACAAAAAAAAAGACGAAACGCACCATAAAACAAAACAAACAACCGTAATATAGGACATGGTGCAGAGCTTGGAAGGCGCTTGGTTAATTATATTTAAAAAAAACAACTGAGAGGACATAGTGTGGGCTTGTTAAGGAGGATCTGTGCAGGAGTTACTCATTCAATCTTATACTTGGGTTCTCAGCTGTCTGCTCTCTGAGCTGATCAGAGAAGCTGGTTCTGCTCAGCAAACTCCAGAAGTCGCTCCTTGTGCTGACGTCCCACCCGCCTACTGAGAGCTTCTTTAAACAGACCGGTAGCTGATCAGCAGCAGCTAGAGAGAAAAACCCTGCAGGCGAAGTCTTTTAAAAAAAAAAAAACACCTTAAATGGAATGGGGTGCACACCCAGTGCCACAGGCTGGTTTCTGCACAGACTGACGGTGCTGAGGGCCCTGTCACTCCTTGCAGATTTAGAAAGCGTATGCCTGACGTCCCAGATTCTTCTAAAACGCCGGCATATGCTGAACTTTCTATGGATTTTTTCAATTTTGGGCGTATACATAGAGTATTCATAACAAGTCCAGAACTTATTCCAGCGGCTGCCTAACTTATACATAACAGCAGCATAATGCCCATGAAAAGATGCACAAGCATAATTTCATGGGCTTTACGAAGCCTCAGTTAAAGCTGCTCCCCTCAGGCGCACAGAGGCGCCTGGTCTGCATAAAAAGATGTCTTTGATCGCAGTATTAACCTAGCTGCCGTTTGCCGCCGGCCCCCAAAAAAAGGATTTAGAAAAAGAAGAAAAGAAAGATAGAGGTTTCTGCTGCCACCAAAAACCTTCGGGCAAGTGGC